GTACTGAGAATTGAACCCAGGGCCTTCACACCTAGCCATTTTTACTTTTTATTTTGAGACAGGATCTCACTAAATCACTAAGTTGTCCAGGCTGCTTTTGAATTTTCTTTATTTAATTTAATTTTATTGGTATATATTTGCAATTCATGCACGTTATAATCATCTTGGGGAGTGGTTACATGTACATTACACCTTGTTGTTTTTTTAAAATCTTCTTCCCCTTCCCTCTCCCCTCCTCCTCTGTTGATATTGTTCATCTTAGCATGTTATGGATATATTGTTTATATGGATTGGAGTGATTAGGATCCTATACATGGCACATCTTTATTCCTCTCACTTCCCCTTCCCCTCGCCTCTCCTTGTTCCCTTGGACCATTTCCCTATTGGAAGAAATCTGTCCCCTTGTCCCTTTCTTTTTTAAGACTAATTCAATCATTTCTTTATTTTGCTGTGGTGGGAGTTGAACACAGGGCCTTATGCATGCTAGGCAAGCACTCTACCACTGAGCTACATCCCAGCCTTTTTCCGTTGTCCCTTTCTATCTATTCTTTATCATTTTCTTTGTTTGTATGTTGCTTCACTCAAATGAGGGATATCATATGATATTTAAGCTTGTGTGTCTGATTTATTTCACTCAACATTGTATTTTCCAGGTGCATTCATTTTCCTACAAATGCCTCATATTTGTCATTCTTTATCTGGGCTTGAACTTTCATTCCTCCTGCCTCAGCCTCTTAGAGTCCACCATAATGCCTGGCAATGTCAAATGTTTTGTTAAAGTCCAAACCCAGTGTGATTTCCAGCTGTGCTCCAAATATCAGATATAGATTTGGTTGACTCCCTGCCATGTACACTGCTAGCACTTATCCTGAGATCTTCTGGTCACTCAGCTTTCTCTCTTCCATGCTCTGCCAGATTTAACCCTCCAGGCCCCTCAGGGGCAGATGTAGATGACTGTGCTCTTTCCCTCTCCTTTAAGTTTTCTTAAAGGTTCCTTGGTGAAGGCAACTGATTATATTTGGGAGTGGTGTTAGAGTTCATCCCAAGAGGCAGGGAGGGAGGAAGGAAGGACAGGAAGCTTTTGAAGTGTCACTTTCTGAGCTCCGTAGTAGGGACACAGGATCTCACTAAGAACCTGTGAAAACCTGCTAAGGTGGGCAGTGTTACTCCTAATCTGACAAGCGTGGAACTGCAGCTCAGCCAGATTAAGCAAATTGACAAAGATTGTAAAATCAGGGGTGGAAGCCAGGCTAGAGTTCAGAGTCCCAATTTCTGTCCATATTCAGTCCCAAGTAGAACCCATGTCAACTAGAGAAATCAGTGATAGAGCAAAAGCCTCAGAGTGAGGATTTATTGGGATGGACTCTAAGTAGGGCCAGATGGTTCCAGCTGTCTTCACAGCTGTGCAGGCCCCGAGTCTAACTTCTAGACTGATAGTTCTTCACGGTGCAGTGGGATGGGGAACCAACACCTTAGAGAATCTGATGTAAGTTCTGGATCCTCTTTCTAGAAAAATATATTCACCCACATACACATAGACCCTTGGCTGCAATTTAGGAAGTGCATGGGCTTGGAGAGTCAGCAAATTCTCTTTGAAGCCCAGAAGTTCCCATGGGGGCTTAGGTAGAGAAAGTTGGAGGGTGGGCAAAGGAAGACGCCATGCACTGGCAGTGGGGAGAAAGAGCCAAGAAGGGGTGTTGTGGGGACCAGGAGGGAGTCAGCCGTGCAGAGATCAGGGGCCTGGGCACCTCCAAGGCAAAGCTTGCTGGGGTCATGTGAGGGCATCCAGAGGCATAGAGTGACACTTGAGCCTGAGTCAGGCCCCGGACTCATCCCAGCTGGGGTTTGTTCTAATAAGGGATATGGCATTCCATTCCACAGCTCTACTTCTTAAGTCTCCATTTTGAAAGTGAATTAAGGTCTCTTCTATTGGAGCCAGCAGCACCCACAGTTAGAATAAAACCCAGAGTGGTCTTGGGCTTCCACTGCCAAGAACAGGGTGGCGTCAGGCTAACCCAGCCACAAGTCAGCCTGTTAAAAATAGTGATTATGTAAAGAAAACATCCCCAGAAAAAGAACTCCAACTAATCTCTGCTGGCCCAGAACAGATCCTCCCATCTTCACCTACCTCTGAGGTGAAAAGATCCATGTCTTCCTTGAATTGTCACCCTGTTCCTTTCATTCACGGGATTGCTCAGCAGACACCCAAACACAGCATAGGGCGTTTGCCCAGTTACTGTATTTCCAGCCTGTTTAGGTCACTTTAGGCCCATGGCCTTGGTCCCCAAGGGGCGGGGCTCTCTTCCCTCTTCCCTTTCTCTCCTTCCTCTTCCTGCTCTATCTTCTACTCTCCCTCTCCCCTTATTATTTCTCTCCTCCCACCCCTCCTCCTTTTTACATTGCTGCCATGTTAGTCAGCTTTCTATCACTGTAAAAACTATTGAGATA